CTTGCTGTTCCGCGCCACAATGGCTGAAGGGGAAGGACGGCATGCCTTCAACATACCTCTGGGACCGGGTCTCGGCACATCAGCGGTCTTCTCTCCGATCTCAACAGGTGAAGAGGCCGAAACAACTCACGAATGTACCAAGACCATCACGTACAAACGTACCAAAAGTAACGACGGCGCCACTGTACGATTGTCGGATTGGAAGGTGATGATGGTGATGAGGCGAACGAGTTGTTGACAAGGCCATGTTTGTGGTTGAGATTCATACGGTTTGCGAACGAGACAGACCCATGCAAGACGAGATCCACTGAGGCCATTCGCGGTCATTTTCGCATCATCGGGGAGTCCATTCCGGGGAGCTCAGTTAGGATGATCCGTCGTCCAGCTTTAGGCTCAGCCTGGTCTCGATTCTCGACGCTCTAGGGCACGTGAGCCCCTAGTTGTCACCCGTCAGACGGGCTTTCAAGTCGGAGGCAAAAAACTCAGTTCAGTTCCTTGGTTGTGTTTGTTCAAGAATTTTGCCTCCTCCGACTAGAAACCCAGCTGTCATCCCCCCATAGCATCTGGAACCGAGATTAGGTTGAGTCCTGAAATGCCGATTGATATGCAATGGAAGGAGGAGTGCACGTCAGTGCAGCAGTTCGTATAATTCCAGACTCGTTCGTGCGGATTCCACGAACGTTCAATGCCTGGTGGGGTAATGATAAAGTTCCATTAACAACAACACAAGGTTGAGCGTAAGTGAGACAAACAATCTGATCCCAACCCGAGGTTGGGCGTGGTGGGAAAACACCATTTCATGCTCAGACGGTGTACACGAGGTGTCCTTGAGGTTTGCGGTCGGGTGAGGAGATGAAGGTTGTCGACTTCCAGAGGCGCTACCACTCGCAGCTAAGGAACGTGAGCGGAGAACACGCCGCACGTTGTATACCCATTTGGCTCCGAGTACAATGGACAACGCCTGCAACATGTTTTTTGTTCTACCACGACCCATAAGTTACACAAGTCAGGTTGATGGACCCAGCAACACTCGACGAAAAGGCAAATAGTTAGCCACGCCGTTCCCTCGCGAAGAAGCGTATTCCCCGCAACAGTCCCCGTGGCCTTGAGCCATATATCCTGCTTCTTCCATTGCTTTGCGCTGCGCACGAACAGCTTCTTATTGTTCCTTGTGTGAAATTCATACACCTGACCCTCCTTGCTTGCTAACTCTTATCCTATCTTTTCTCTTCAGACCGGGGCACCAGACGTCGTCCGAACCAACTAACATCATGCGCGAACGAATACCTCTCTGTCTCGCCTCTTTCTTCTTCCATCTCGTCCTCCTGCTACCCCAGGTGCATGCACATGGGTACGTCGCCCAAGTTGCGATCGATGGCAAAGTCTACATCGGAAATGTACCCAACGCCCAACCTACGCCCTCCATCGTTCGCCAGATCAACGACGTCTCACCTGTCAAAGGCGCCTCTAATCCATATCTAAACTGTGGCCAGGACGCACAGAAAGCGGCTCTGGTCGCTGACGCCAACCCTGGCAGTAGCATGCAATTTTGGTGGAAAGGCGGAGATGGCAGTGATGTGAGTGGTTGATTTTTTTTTTTTTTTTGGGATACGGACCATAACTTTGATCTTATCTCTGTCACGCGCAGTGGCCGCATAACATTGGCCCTATCATGACGTACATGACACCCTGCGGTAGCACCACCTGTGATCAATACAACTCGACTGATGCCGAGTGGTTTAAAATTGAAGAAACGGGCCTAGAGCCCGGAAATACGGTTTGGTATCAACAAAACATCAGTACGCAAACGTCAGAAAAGTCTTTCCGTCACTTAACTCATGTATCCATTTTAGTGGATGGCGGTCCAGCAAACGTGACCGTTCCGTCGACAATTGCCCCCGGACAGTACCTCGTCCGTCACGAAATAATTGCATTGCATCTTGCCACAGAATTAGGTGGAGCAGAATTTTATCCGTCGTGCACGCAGGTGCGTCTCCAACCCCCTCGGTTCTTTTTTTTTTTTTTTTTTTTTTGGTTAGGCTGATGGACACATCCATGGCACAGGTCAATATCGGGGGTTCGCAGACCGGCATTGCATCTGCAAACGAAGAAGTGACGTTTCCGGGAGGTTACTCAGATACTGACCCCGGAATTTATGACCCTACGATCTTCGATACCCCGATCCAGTATACCTTCCCTGGACCACCCGTCGCCTCCTTCGTCTCTGGATCATCTAGTTCAGGCTCAAATTCCTCGTCCACTCCCTCTGGATCCTCCGGAAGTACACCAGCATCAGTTACTTCGTCCCCAACGCCGACGGCCACCACAGCGTCCGCATCATGTAAGCTACGTCAGCAGACGTTTGACGTTCAAAGACCGAGAAGTTTGTCTCGGATCATGGCCGCGTGGATCAAGAATCTTGGTTCGTAGGAACTGAAGAAGGTTCGGACATGAGTTTGACAACCTTCATGATCGTGATGATGACGGAGACGGCCGGATGTAAGATGTGTAAGATCACGCGTAGGCATGAGGTGTAGGAGGATAAAAATTATTTCTCTTCGGCGTCAGTGTAGTACATGCATTTTTTTGAATATACTGCTGTGCCGTCTTGCGATCATCGGCCAATTGAGTATCCGTTGGTCTGGTCTCCCTAAGGCAGACTTTAGCTAACATTTCTTGCATGTGGTGGGCAGCGTTTGTGTCTGTGATCACCCCTGTTGATTAGTCCCGCTGTTATTTGACGTTCGATCGGGTTTCACCCATTCAAAGTGTGAGCGATTTTTATTACAATTTGAGGTGAAATGCCAATCGATGATGTATACATTCATTATGGGTGCTACAGGTCAACTACCTAGGGAACTACCTAAGGAACTAACTAAGGAACGTGTTAACTAACTAGCGATACAAAGGAATGGAGGGTCATTACAGGTGGACACAAATGCGGATGGGTAAATCAGTGTGACAATGAGTTCAAATATTCTTCACCACGCTTCTGGACGAGGACACTCTCAGGAAGAGTCTCCCATCCCTCAACGCCAGCCTCCACCATCCATTCGGGGCAAAGACAGTACTCACGGTCATCCCCCCTGAAGAAAATATCCCTCTCGTCAAGCTCCATGACCAGGTACTCAGCTTCAAGCCGACGAACTTCAGACCAATAAGTTTTGTCCTCTTCTTCTGCTTCCTCCATGGATTCTTCCTCGACAACGTCCATGGCGAATGAAACGTCGGTGTCGGACGAGGCGTGGACACTGCTGAAAGAGTCCAGGGAGTACGCCGAATTTTCGTCGGAGGAAGAGGCGCTTGCAGAATCGGAGGATTGACCGCCGATGCCCCACACCTCGCCCTTCCAGTCGAGCATGGGCAAAGCACGCGGAGGCTCCGCGGCGTTATACGATGATGCGTCGCTGTCAGAAGTGTCGCCGGCCTTGCACGACGGCGCGAACGTGACACGCTTCACTGGCGCCTTATTCTGGGCCGCGCGACCACGGGCTTTGGGGATGTAACCATGTACGGCTTTCCGGTGACGAGTCAGCGCAGCTGGATCGTTTGTCCGGAAGGAACAGGGCTGGCCATCGATCGAGGAGTCGGTGAGAGAGCCGGCGTCACCGGAGGAGAGGTCGGATGTGTTGAGGGTTTCAGGGCAAAGATAGCGTTTTTCGCCAGTGCTAAAGAGAGGGCTAATCAGGACGAGATGCATATAATTTGCGACAGTGGACGTACTGCCTAGCGCTATGAACCGACAGGTTCTTTTTCTGCAGGGTCGTGAACCCGCAGGAGGGGAATGTACACCTGAAGACGCTGCCGTCGACAATGTGTGAGCGTGACGACGGCGCGTAGCGAAAGAAATCCGCGCGAACCTTTCGGGCTTGACATGGTGAACCTTGTGCTTTCTAAGCTCTGCAATACGCGTAAACTCGCTCTTGCAGTTGGGGTGAGGGCAGGTATAAGTCTGTCCATGGTGGGTGAGCTGTCTAGACAACGTTGAGAACCCGGATTGCTTACCTTGGAAGCAGGCATTTTGTCGTAAAAGGTATAGAGGTGTTGATACAGGAAGGGTAGACAGTGAACAGGAATGAACTCGAGAGAATGACCAGCTTCTCCCGTGACGATGGAGGAATGATTTTGATTGAAGATTTACCCGCACCTGGGTCGCACATTTATACGTTCCCGAGCACACCACCGCCGAATGTGTGGATGACTTGTGGACGACCCACAGTCTTACCAGTTGCTTTGTCCCCTTTATGTATGCCCAATATGAAGAACAGGGAACGATGCGGCACATACCGTTAAAGAGATATACACTTCATTGACCGAGCAGTCCACCAGTGGACAAAAGAAAACGCCGTCCACTGAGCAATGCTGCGGATGAAAAAAAAGCAGACAATCCGAATACTGAGCGCTGAGACTCTGGCTGATCGTGTTAAAGCTGCAGCACAATGTGCACACCGCAAGCTCGTCGATCATCCTGTCCACCGTCCTCGCAGCATCTTGACGAGGCACTCGCCGGCATCCGTTTGATCATTTGAAGCGCGTAATAGCCGCTGTCTCTATCTCTCGCTGCATTCTCCGTCGAGTCACATACATGACGGACGGGATATTTACGCGAGGTGAGCATCGAACCTGACAGTACTTCAAGGCTTGACGGAGGGAGACACCACGCCATGACCCGACTCAGGGAACCTCTCCAGATGAATTGTCTGAGACGCGCTCGAGATAGCCTTTTGTAGGATAGGCAGATGAACGCCTTTCGAGCCCGCGCTCGAGTCATAGGAGTTCGAGCTTCCATTCGACATGGGTCAGTAAATCCTTGCAGAAATCACACAGACCTGTGAACCCTGCATGGACCAATATCCTTCGGAATCCACAATCTTCGTTTCGGGCGATAAACGGCCTGCTAGTGTGTAGGTGTGAGGGTGAAGACGGACCCTCGTTAACGGCGTAGTGAAACCGACTGCCCTAAAATCTAGCCTTCTGTGACATATGAGCCTGCTGTTATCAGCAGCATGGCGCAGGGGTTAGCGCGCGGGGCTCATAACCCCAAGGTCACTTGATCGAAACAAGTTGCTGCTATTATTTTGGGTCCCCTTTTTAGGCCTTGGGCTTCGCTTTGCATTTTTTCCCTGAGTTACGGTCCGTCACTCGTGAATTATGATAGACTATACATTACTACCTTCGCGGCACTGCCTCCTACGTGTCTCATTTCTTCGTAGCGGAACATGGTTCTGTCTCTTGCTTTTTTTTCTTTTTTTCTTTTGGGGGGAGTTGGGTTCATGCGCAATGTAGGCGTGATAAAATCATCCACGCGGTCCGTCAATGTTATCGACAGCCGGCTCCACAACAACATCCGTGACAGCTCTTTGATCGCAAGGAATTAAATGATCGAAAACTGAAACGTTCGCCACAACGCGGGAGTAAACGGATCCCGCATCAGTGGCTAACCCCCAATGAATGGTTTTCGGCCTTCCTTCTGGTCCTCAAGATCTCACTACGGAATACCCAGTATCGGTTCGTTGAACTCACGGAACGGAGAAAAAAAGAACAAAAACCCTAACAAAAGCAGGACACTCTTATTCTCCCTTAACTTCACATCATCGTAGGACTTTAGCGTGTTTTAACGATTGTGCTATGTGATACAACACAAACAAGCTATGATGCGTGCAAAGCCGTCCCATCTATAATGTGCGGGGTATAGGAGACGAGGGGTCTACATCGAGCATTCGCGTCAGCGTCCGTTGGACCACTTAGATGGTAGTGGTAGTGCACTCACATAATTAAAGCGACAAGCCGAGGGAAGCAACGAGACCCGTGAGGTTGAGCGAAGCAACAATGGAAAGAACAGGAGCCAAAAGAGGAGCAAGGGAAGCAACGATGCCGCCGACCAGGGTGACAATGATGGCCAGAAGAGAGAAAACGGTGGCACCAAGGCTGCTGAGCAAGGGCCAGATTTGCGAGCTGACGTCGCTGGTGACGACCTTGAGAACAGCACCGATAGCAGTAAAGATGAGCTGTGGAAAGGCAAAAAAAAATTAGCGACGAAGGCGATGCACACAATGTAAGGACATACGCAGAGGTCAGTGGCAACGATCTGAGCAAGGTCAGAGACAGCCATGGTGACCGTGCCCTCAACAGGTGCGAGGATGACAGAAAGATCCTGGCCAATGAGAGCCTGGAGCTTAGGAATAGCAGCAGTCAACGTGCCGTTGATCGATGAAACAATGGGGGTGATGATTTCAACAGTGGCATTGGCAGGGACGAGGTAAACTAGCGGAGACATCAGAATACCAAATAATCACGGAAAATTTTACGTACTGAGCTGTTGAGCGAGGGGAGTGATCTCGGTCATGATATCGTTCAAGACAACGGCGACGGAAACGTTAACGGAAACATCAGTGCGGCGAAGGTTGATTCCACCAGTGAGTGAGTCGACTTCCGAGTCAACCTCGGTCATGAGGTCGCTACGAGGAAGGTTGATGCCGCCGGTGAGAGAGTCGACCTCGGAGTCAACCTCAGTCATAAGGTCGCTGCGGCGAAGGTTAATGCCGCCGGTGAGGGAGTCGACTTCCGAGTCAACCTCGGTCATGAGGTCGCTGCGAGGGAGGTTGATGCCGCCGGTGAGAGAGTCGACCTCGGTGTCAACATCGCTGACGAGGTCGCTGCGACGGACGCTGATGACGGGCTTAAGCTCACCCTCAACAGTCGAGACAACGTTGCTGCGACGGAGACCGCCCGTCACGGAGTTTAGTTCGCTGGTGAGACCCGAACCACCGGTGAGGTCAACGGGGACAACTGAGGAAGCGCCCGTAAGGTCGATTGGGGCGGCGCTAGTGAAGACGCCGAGCGTGGCGGTGAAGAGAACAGAGAGGGTACTGAAAGAGTGCATCTTTGAAAAGATCGTGGGGTGTCTGGTGAGACGACGGCGTGCGTTTTTCGAAAGAGTTAGAAGGGAAAGATGACAAGGAGTCGATGGGGAGTTTTCCCCCGCGAGGTGGGTTTTATAGGCGGAACCTGTGGGTTGGTCATCATCGTTCCGATGTTTTTTTTTCTGTCTTTCTGTTTTCCAGTTTCCCAAACCACATCAGTGACGTTAACACCAATATATGGCAGAAGCGCGTGTTACTTACTTTGGACAGATGTTTCGGGTCATTTGTTTCGGTGCACACGCTGTGGAGCACGGAGTGATCTGAAGCGATGCGCTGTCGTGTAGCCACCCATCCTATTGGTGGGCACAAACGTTCTCCAAGTTCAATCTAATTAGTCGTTGGAGTGGGAGTGTCAGCGGGTGCAGCCATCACGTTCAAGGGAAGCTTCTGATAAGTTACTCACATATAACCGAGTCTTCAGAAACAAGACCAAGTTGGAAGATCGTCGGAGTGAGACCGACATCGTCGAGGACAACGCTGAAATTTCAGACTTCACTGTCGCCTGGCATAAGTCGGACACACACCCTACGCTGTTGGTAAACACAAACAAACACGATATGACGGGTCGGTTGCACTGCAAGCACGCGACAACAGCTCGGACTCCTTCAGCACTCACCGGCACGAGTCCCAGCAGTCAGCCATGTCAAGGTTTATACCATCGCTGGAGACCTTCGCAAAGGTAAGCAGGGTTGTCCTACATCATTTGGTGGTTGCGACGCAGCAGACGACCCGTCCAGGGAGCAGTCGCCACTGCGGCAGGTGTCACGACGATAGGTATTTGATTGCACCCTGCTTGATATGGATCAGTTGACCTCGCTTTACCATAGGATGTGGACTACTCTATTATGGCCAAAACTACCTCATATACCCTTCTGCTTTCCCCCCGGGTTCGCGCACAGGTACGCTCCCCCCACGACGATCGTCGGAGTGCTCATGTAGTTTCAACCAGACGTCGATGTGCCGACGAAATATGGACTTGTGTATCAAGATTTACCGTTGCGCACCGACGACGGCTTCACTCTGCACTGCTATATGTTGATGCAACGAAAAGAAATATCCCATCCTCATGCCTTGCACGTCGCTAGCGATGAGAACCAAACTAATGAAGAGGTACTCAAAGTCCTTCCCTATCATGCGTTGGGTGGTTACTGATCCTAGTGAACTCGGAAGTTCGCCGCAACGCGACCCACGGTTATGATGTTTCACGGCAATGGCGGTAATCATGGTCACCGCATACCTTTAGCGAGAGTATTTTTCGTGAAGATGCGTTGTAACGTCCTCATGCTTTCGTATCGAGGGTATGTTAACGTATGCTTTCTCAGTATCGATGCTCACCACATTCATAGTTACGGACATTCTGAAGGAAACCCTTCGGAGGCTGGTAAGGTCGCTTTGGTCTTCCGCAGCACAAGCTAAGTGGGGCCTTACAGGGCTATGCATAGATGCGCAGACAGCCCTTGACTACATTTCCTCTCATCCTTATTTGCAGAAAACACCAGTCGTAAGTCATTCCTACACTTGAACACTTTGGTCGATGTTCACAGTCGTGTTTGAAGATTTTGTACGGCCAATCAATAGGAGGAGCAGTTGCGATTGATCTTGCCAGCCGGAATCCATACAAAGTCCGTTCTCTGACGCAAGCCAGATGTCTATGACTGATTTTGCGCTGGTATGCAGATCAATGCGCTCATTCTAGAGAACACTTTCACGAACCTTCCCCGACTCGTTCCTCATGCTTTTCCATTCCTTTCGCCCTTGTCCTTCTTGTGTCATCAAAAATGGGATTCAGCCTCAAAGATACCGCTGATCCCTCGAGCTACCCCGATCCTCATGCTGAGTGGGGTTAAAGACGAAGTCGTTCCTCGTGAGCACATGCTAGAACTTTGGGAGATAATATCGCGACGTCAGGGAACGAGAATCAAAGACGCCGGAAAGGAAGGCAAGTCTGATACCGCTCAAGTAGGAACTGGAAAGTCGCGATTCGTTGAATTCGAACAAGGGTCTCACAGTATGTTCTCGAAACCCTCTACTCACGACCGTAAAGCCAAGCCTCTCCCCGTTATTCAGATGATACATGTCTCCAACCAGGCTATTGGACTGCCGTCGGTGACTTCGTGGCGAGCCTTTCTCAGCACTGACAGGCTCAATAGCCCCAGTTTCTGTGTTCCCTCATCACACCCTACATGATTGATTTCCATACCTGTAGTACCTTGCCACGCACCCCGGACGTTAGCCTAGCTCCTTTGTATCACAAGTCAACATCAGTACTTGGCCGGATCGGAACTTTTTTTTTCATGCCCGTAAAATTGATACTGTAACAAACGCAACAAAAGCAACATGACCTCAAATACTAGTGAAGCCTATCCGTCATACCGATATGCAACCATAGCTTCTATGCGATGCACGTCGGTACTAAAACTACGCAATTTAACTTGCTGACTTTTGCTAGCCTCGATCGCTAGTGGATCCGTGTCTACCCACTCATCTGCAGGGACATCAGCAGAGTCATGTGTATAAGCCAGAATGTTGAACACGGTAGGGTCGTCAATGATTGGGAGGAAGGTCACTGTAGAGACGATCTGCTTCAGGATGTAACGAATTTCGGCTTGTATCTCGGATTCGGGTTTGGGTGGTGCTCTATGCCAAGAGTCACCGGTGAAAGGCAACTGTGGAACACAGGCAGACTTACGGTTCTGCAGAGTCCGCTGGGGGCTCAACGAGGTTGATGTCAAACACCCATCTTTCAAGAGGCAGTCGAGTGTCCTTTGATATGATGGCAAGGACCAGCTGTGTAACTGACCCAGTTAAGAGCCACTCTAGGTGAAAGTAAGCTGGTTGGTTGCACGGCAAGTAGCCATGGCGTTGATAGCTTACTGTTCACTTGTTTCAAAATTCTGGGCGAATGTAAGTTCTGGCTTGTACTACTGATTGCAGCTTCCACATACCTGTCAAGGTAATTCTCTAACGCGAGGTCCTGGGTAACAAGGACGGTTTGTCCGTATTTCTTCACCATATGGAAGTCATCAGACGGATATACGCCCCGTTGGAACAGGATCCTGAATAGACGAATTAATGGTCGTTGTTCATTGTTTCGAAGTGGCATGAGCGAACGTATTGGCAGCGTATTTGAAGAACTCGGTAACCAGGTTC